CAGAGAGCCGAAGTCTGCATAAAAATGTGTGTCAGCTCTAGCAGATGTAAATCAACCATGTTATAGGCTGTACTGAGTATCTTAAATAGGTTGTTAATGTAGTTTATTTTTATTCATTCACAGAATTGCTTATTACTAGCTATGCTAGCTTTTATGGCTCTTGAGAACGTGGTGCTGAGCTGCCTTCTTGAACTGCTGCAGTCCATGTGGTGTGGGTACACTTGCTGTTAGTGAAGGAGTTCCAGAATTTTTACCCAGGAACAGAGATATATAGTCTGAATCAGGATGGTGTGTGTCTTGGAGGGGAAGTTGAAGGTGGTGGTTTTCCCATGTATCTGCTGCCCTTGTCATTTTAGTTGGTAAAGGCCACAGGATTGGAAGATGGGAGAAGCTTTAAAAGCCGAAAGAGCCCTTGTGAATTGCTGTCGTGCATCTTGTAAATTGTACACGCTGTACATTGTGCCTCATTGACGGAGGAGTAAACGCTGAAGATGTTGAAGGAGTCCTAACCAACAGGGCTTTCTGAATGGCGTCAAACTTCTTGAGTGTCGTTAGAGCTTCACTCATTCAGGCAAGTGGAAGTATTCCATCACTCTCCTGGCTTGTGCCTTGTAGATGTTGGACAGGCTTTGGGGAGCTAGGATTCAAGTTAGTCATTGCAGAATTCCCACCGTCAGACCTGCTCTTGTAACCGTTATATTTATATGGCTAGTCCAGTTCCATTTCTGTCAATGGTAACCCCAAGAGGTTGACAATGGGGAATCCAGCAATGGTATTGAACGTCAAGGAGAGATGGTCATTGTGTGACACTTGTGTGTGTGAATATTACTCGTCACTTATCAGCCTAAACCTAAACGTTGTCCAGTTCTTGCTACATGTAGATATGGACGGTTTCAGTATCTTGCAGAATCGGGAATGGTGCCGAATATAGTGCAAATGTCCCCACTTTTGACTCTACCATAATAGGAATGCTATTGATAAAGCAGCTGAAAATAATTGAACCTAGGACAATCCCCTTAGAAACCTCTGCAACAATGTTATCGAACTGAGATGAGTAATTTACAACAACTACAACCATCTTCCTTTGCGCCAGGTATGACACCAACCAGCGAGGAGTTTTCCCCAATTCCCCTTGACTCTAGTTTTACTTGGACTCCTTGATACCACCCATGATCAAATGTAGTCACTCACAGCTGGCCTGTTGTGTTCGGCTCTAATGTTGATGATTGCAAAAAGCCTGTAATGAGGTCAAGAGATTAGAGGCAATAGTCTAAATCTAAATGGAAAAAAGAGCTTACAAACTTTTTTTTGTTCAAAAAGAACAAAGACTAAATACAGGAAGTTAAATTAAACTTTCTACATTTGCATAGCAAGCTGGTCAGTATCTGAATGGAAAAAGTACCACTGGTTAACTCTTCAGATGAGTATTTACAGTTTTAATGCCTGAATTATTTGGAGCTCAAATTCACTATTTCAAATTATTGATGTTAGAATGGGCCATTTCCCAAGTGTGCAAGTTTACCTGACAATTGCTGTCGAGAAGATGAGTTCTGTTCATTACAGTACTAAGCTTTGTGCAACTTCACAATTAATAGTTGCAAAGATTTTTTAAAAGGAATTCAATTTTTCTAGACTATATAAAAATGACATTTTTTGGAATGACAGTGTTTTTGCTTAATTGTAAGATGAGTAGTACATTATCGAACAAGTTCAAAAAGAGTTAGGAAGTGAACTTATAAACATGCAGTAATAATTAACAACAGACTTAGCTTTATCTGTAAAGTTAGCTCAGTAACCTTTGCCATCTGTCCCAAACAAGATTGCTTCATTCTGGAAAAGTTTACTAGTAATACTGGGATTTTCACCTTAGGGCAGGGACATTTATGTTGCACAGCTCAATGGGATATTTAGATATGCTCCTAGAAAGCTCTCTTGATTTGAAAGTTTTTTGCAAACAAGTCACCATGTTATTAGATGAACTGAGCTTTGAAATTATTTTCAAATGGACCAATAGCAAAATGTGTTGTAACTTAGCACATTGCATCTTATAATCTTTTATGCTCAATACCCAATTGCCATTGAGTCATATTTTTCTTATAAACATTACAGAAAGAATGAGAGTCTACTTCACTGAAAGAGAGGGAAGAAAAATGTCTACATGCGATTAAATTGACTTCCATCTTCTGTTTAGGACAGATATAATACCATAGAGGATATGACAATGGACTAGCAATCCAGACACCAAGGTAGTTCACTCTACCAGGCCTGGCATATTTACTGATATTGCTGGGGGCTGGTGTTTGTTGCCAGTGTTGAGGAGTGTGGGGCGATGGTAGAGCAGGCAGATGTACACTTGGATAGATTAGTTCAGAACCTGGGCACGTGCAAAGTCTGTGGAGTTGAAGTGGAGGGCTACCAAGAAAGGAATGTTCATATTTGGAGTTTACGAAGACAGTGACATTGATCCTAATGGGAATGGAAATGAAATGTCTGTGAACACATGTAGAGTGGGCAGGGTACATGTTTCTTTCTGTGAGGAAGTTTGAACAGTGCGAGACCCCACAAAACTCTACACCATTACACAGACACCCATACGCTAAAGCTGAAATACACCATGAGTCATAGATACTTTGTGAACCTTAGGTATTAAACTACTGTGTCCAGTCCAAATGCTTGCCTGAAGCACCCCTGACCATGCCAAGTAGGATAATGAATGAATCCCAGTAATGCTGTGATGCAATAGCAATATTTGTTCACCTGGAAAGTAGCAGTCACCTGTGATTTAGCCATTGCCTGCATTGGATGCAGGAGTTGCTCACTTCACACCATGGACCGTGGAACATTGTGTAGCTCTAAGAACAGGTGAGCTGTGTACCTTCAATTTGTAGTTGCAGCTAGACAAAGACTTGTACCTATGGCTGATGGTGAAAAATGTAATACCATTTACAAATGTGAAAACATTGATGGTCACCTGTGCCCTCAGAGGGTTGTTACCTTTTTATTCCCTCCCACTACATCTGCAATGCCAAGTTCAGCAATTAGGGTGTAGGGAGCCTGTTGTCCTTGGAGTTTGGTCACGCACCCTGGGGTGTTTTTGTCTAGAAGGCCCAGAGTGTCCTGCTGAGTGTGTCCTGTCCAGAGGCAGTTGGCTTGAGCTCCCACAGAGCTTAGAATGGCAGGCAGGGTGCAAGTGGATGGCCTGGCCATCTCTCGAGTGTCCCAGGAAGAATCTTCTGGGTGCCATCTGTGGTGCCTTACCCTACTGGCACCACCCTGTCTCCATATGAGGAAAGGGAACCAGGCAAGGTTCCTTGTCACCCTATCATCCTACCATTCATGGTGAGTACTCATAGCTAGAGCAGTGGAATGCAGGTCTGTGCATATGTCTATCAGACTGAGACTGCTAGACCTCCATAGCAGCCACCAGCCTGTCGATGGAGGCAACAGGGCCTCAACCACATGTTTGCAGTCCAACAGTCTTTGTTAGGTTAGCCAGTGCCCCTAACAAAATTCCCGATGTTCCTGTGTCAGTTTGTGAGTGGTATTCAAATCCCTGTTTGCTGACACCGTGGGCTGCTCTCCTGCCTCAGGCTGAGCAGGTGCCTAGTCTATGGTGGTCCTCCAAGTACCATTGATGTGGGATGTTTCCTACTTGGCCAACTGTAGGGATGTGGCAGTGAAGTGCTCGCCAGCAGATACTCCTGACTCTGATCTGGATAAAATACCACCAAGGTGAGGGAGCAAAGAGAAGCTGTTGGCACATATCTGGCGGAGTGGAGAAGGTTCTTGATGTTCCTGCATTGTTGGGTATTGCTCTGGCATATGGAAAAATTCAGCCCTGATTGTTCAAGCACCAGCCCAGCACTTACTTTTCAGCCTATAATGTACATTGAAGTACAACATTGAAGTATCCTTGTTTAGATGAAATCCTTTCTCCTATTCTGGTGCATGTAAAAAATCCCCTGGTCATCCCCATCATTCAGAAAAGAGCAAGTTCTCAGATGTTCTGGCCAGGCAATACAGACAACAATCAATGATTTGATCATCCATCCCAGGGTTATTTATAGGTCCCTGTTGGGTGCAAATTGGCAGCTACGTTTGCTGGCATAACAGTGACTCCGGTCACAATGCCCATCGAGATCTCCTGAGGATAATGCTTGGCACTTTTCAAACTTTGGTTCTTTGTTTCACTTGAAGATTTTTTTGTTTAAATATGACTTTCTCTGCAGTTTCAACAGCAATGGTAGTGATAATGAAGTTGCTCCAAAATCAAGAAAATGGCTTTAAAAATTACTTGTATAAGAATATCACATGCACACAAATTTGCGCAAAGCCACACGTATACGCTACACATTTGCACTGAACATTTTCCCCATACTCAATTATGGTCCATTAAATTCATGTTAAAAAATATATCATAGGTTTTCGAGTATGCACAGACCTCTTCGGGGCACCCAAAATTTCAGGTGATGTCTTTACTGTTATTGCAACAGATTGTTTATAATTATTGACCCTAGCCAATCCTAAATGGATTGCTATCTAATAACATACACATAAGAAAGGAATGTAAATATTATAGACACTTTGTCCTAATCTACCAATCCCCCAGCCTATTCATTAATAGGCTTTCTTGCATATCAGTGTCCTTAATTACGTGTATACACACGGAATTAACTTCATGCATCAAGTTTAAAGTGATTAGCAATATAACAAGTTCCTTTTAAAGTAATCTTGTGACCTGCTGTTTTCTTCTCAAGTTGAAAGGAACTTTTGGATTCACGTTGAGTAACTAAAAAGCTGTTTATCTCTAAGATCATGACCGCACTTTAAGTCTGCTTACTGTTAACCTAATACTTTTGTATGGTATTCTGAGTACATTGTACAACATGCTGAAATGTTATAAAATGAATAGGATTTTTATTTCAATTTTTTTTTAATTATTAAAATGTTCCATTACATATTTACTCTTGATACTTGCTTTAAATTGTTGTAACTTTTAGATTTACCATCTGGCCCTTGCAATTATCGATTAGAAGAACTAGCCTACACGAGAAGTGGTGACAAAGGCAACACTGTCAATATAGGTAATTCAATGTTTATATGACTGAGTCCAACTGTTCTGATAAGTTTTTATCTAAATAACTGTAATAATTATTTTTCAATAAGCAATTTTCTAAGTTATATTTGTTAAGTTTCACTTAAAAATAAAATATAATTTATTATCAGTACTGTGGCTTGGTGATAATGTTTTGCTGATAACCATGCCTGTGCTATTGAGGCCAAACCGTAAGCATGACAAGTGAGATAATGCTCATGGACTACTGATAGTTATGTGTAAATTGCCAAGTGCACTCCTCACCCATTAGTAAATTTGTTAACTCAGGCTAATTATTAGAGTCTTTATTTTGTTAAATATTGTCTAGCATCTCTAACTTGACATCGAGAGTGCAGCAGACCTGCAGTGGATGTCACCTCCTTGAACCTCTCTTCCTGCCCCAACATGAGTATCTATGCTTCAGCTCCAACATGTTAGTTTCCTGCATGTTTCCTGCACCCTTGTGCCCAAACCTCAGCCTCACCAGGAATGCAGTCCCATTCTTTGTTGTATAGATTCTGCATGAGTTCTCAAACCTTGACAATTCTCACTCTCACCTCCTCTCCCCCCACCTTCATTCACAATGCTGTAGACCAACTTCTTCAGTTTCTGCTATTAGTAGCAAACAATCACCAGGCTACCATCCGAGAAGCTGTTGCTTCTATACTGTTGTTCCTTCAAGATGTCTCAAAGCTGCTCACAACCAATTACGTACTTGTAGTGTAGTACTGTTGTAATGTAGAATTATAGAATCCCTGCAGTGTAGAAGCAGTCCATTCAGCCCATCAGGTCCACATTGACTCTCCGAAAGGCAACCCACCCAGACCCACCCCCTACCCCATCCCTGTAACCCTGCATTTCCCATGGCTTATCCACCCAGCCTGCACATTTCCTGGACACTATGGGCAATTTAGCATAGCCAATCCACCTAACCTGCATATTTTTGGACTGTGGGAGGAAACCGGAGCACCTGGAGCAAACCCATGCAGACACAGTGAGAATGTGCAAACTCCACATAGACAGTCACCTGAGTCCGAAATTGAACCCAGGTGCCTGACACTGTGAGGCAGCAGTGCTAACCACTGAGCCAATGTGCCAAAGTGCAATTCAGATATAATCTTTGCATTTGTTTAATCCAATTGTCAAACACCAACTAAAAAATGAAGGAAACAAGCAGCTTTTAAGACCCCTTTCAGCATTCTGCAAGGATCTGCTACCCTCTTCAGCCAAACCTAACAATCTCCCTCCTTCCAACAACATTTATCTGCAAGAGTAGGAAATGCAATATGAACTTTCCCACAGCTACTCTTCCTAATCTTCAGTGCCTAAACATTCCTTCCAGCTGAAACACTGATTTGCTTATACACCTTTCAATTGAGCAAACAATGCAGTCTGGAAAATCAATGCAGACTAGTTGATCGTTTGTGGAATACCTCCATTTAGTCTGCAAGTTTGACCCCAAGCTTCTATTCCCCATCCCTTAAGTTTTCTATCCTTTTCCCTCTGCGAGTTCCTACATTGTTTAGATTAAAGTCAGATAAACTTGGCAAACAGCTCTTCGTGTTTTGTTTAAGGTTTAAACAGCTTTCCAGAATCCAGACTCTGCATAAGTTCAGCCATTTCAGATTATAGTCAGTGTCCGCATTTTTTAAGACAGTGACATTCTGTTATTCCCATTCCCACTTGCTTCAAACCCATCTTTTGTTTCTTTACTTATTTCGCCTCACCTCGACTCGCCCCCCCCCCCCCCCCCCACTACCTCTTGTCTTCCATCATCTCCCTTTTGTTATTTAATTTCTCCAGCCCTCTCTTTTTGTCTTCTATCCCTGTGCTTGCCCCCGTTTGCTTAAAATCCGCTTCATCTTTTTCTCTCATTTTGATTAAATGTTAACTTTGTTTCTCTCTCTATAGATGTGGCTGAATCTGCTGAGCATTTCCAGCATTTTCGAAACATCCAGTTTTTAAATAGTCGACATCTATTGGAAAAGAACAAAGGAGACGTGACAATTTTTCAGTCTGTGTTCTCAGATTGCGCTCTAAGGGAAACATTGCCACTAACTGTGCTGGCATACTTTTAATAAAGGTGACATTTCCTGTCTGTTTGGGAGGGAGGATTATTTTCACAAATCGGTCAAAAGCAGTTCCTATTGAGATTAATCTTGCGAGCAACAATGCTTTTAATTGTATCCCTAAGTCCAGTGAAGGTTCCTGAATCTGGGAAAAAAAATGCTTGACTGCCATTTATCCCAAAAGCATGAGGTTCCAGTTGTCTAAATTGATTCCTTATAACTTTGAACCTGATTACTCCACATCAATCATTAATTCAAGAAACAATTTACTAAACTTTCATCTCAGCAACCTGAATGAATACAAAATGCTGAATCCCTCTTCATGAATGTACTTGAGGTTCAGTGTAAGGAACATAAATTGTCAGAATTCACAGAATTACTTGTTATATTTAGAACTGTATTTTTCATTCATCATTTATATAAAGTTCTTACAGAATTGTCAGGGTAGATCCTGAGAGGCTATTTTCCTTCGTCAGAGAATCTAAATCTACGGGATATAATCTCAGAATAAGGAGCTGGCAATTTGCACTGAGATGAGGAAAGATTTCCTCACTCAAAAGATAGTGAATCTTATAGAATTCATGATCAAGAGTAATAGATTTTGGAGGGGGAAGCGATAGGGTGGGAGAGTTACATAAATAGACGTAGATCATATGACTGATCAAACCTGCTCTGGCATTAAATATGGGAGACCAAAACTCCATTTATTTAGCTTCAAATATGCTCAACAATTAAATATCCTCAACACTGTGGGATTGGCAATTCTAAATATATATACTCTTTGAATAAAGAAATTTTAAATGATTGATCCTTTGTTCTGAGGCTGTGCCCTCATGTTCTAAAAACCCCAACCAGGGAAACAACCTCCTGAGTCTACCCTCTCAAACTCCTTCAGAATTATGTATGGTTCAATGAGAGCATTCGTCTATGTCCAAGTTATTCGGCCTCTTATCCCAGGACCCAATCTTGTGAATCTTCAGTTTATCACATCCAAGAAAAGTATATCCTTCCTTGGATACAGGGACTAAAACTATACATAGCATTCCAGGTGTGGTCTGACCAGAGCTCTGCATAATTGAGCAAGACTTCCTTATTCTCATTCTCCAATCTCTTTTCATTCAAGATGAAGATGTCATTTGTGTTCGTAATTCTTTGTTCCAATTCATGCTGACTTTAAGTACCTTGTATGAATACACCCAAGTCCATCTAAACGTTAACACGTCAAAACTCATGCTTTTTAAAAATATTCTGCTTATCTTGTTACCAAAGTGAATAACCCCACAGTTTACCACATTATACTGTCATCTTTCTGCTCACTCACTTAATCTGCCTGTCTCTTTGTGGCCTCCTTATGGATTGCATTCCCATGAAGCTCTGTATTATCAACAAGCTTGGATGCATTATTCTGGGCCTCTTCTCTAAGTCATTAAGATAGATTGCAATTAGCTGAGGTCCCAGCATGGATCCTTGTAGCAGTCTAATAGTTATCCCTCCCAACTCGTAAATGTTCCATTTAGCCATATTTTCTGCTTCCTAATTGATAACAAATTCACTATCCATGCTAATATTATCCCCAATTCCATTTACCTGTATCTTGCATAATAATCTTTTGTATGGCACCTTATTAAATGCCTTTTGGAAATCCCAAGTATATCACATCCACTGGCTCCTCCTTATCAACATTATAAATTACATCTTCAAAAACTAATACATTTGTCAAATGAAGTTGAGTTAATTTTATTGAATTTATTGAATGGCAGAGCAGGCTTGAGGGGCTCTATCATCTACTCCCACTTCTTTTTCCTTTTTTTTAATTGATGATCCACACATTCTTCGTTGAACATTTTGCTAGTGTCATTGTTATCCTATGAATGTATATTATGTCAATGTGTTATATTTTTCATCAAATTTAGCACCTATGCACTTTCTTTTACTTAGGTAATTTGGCTCATTTCCATTTGTTCAAAATTGTGTTAATTCATTTCATCCCTTAATCCAGTTTCGAACCATGACATGGCTGAATTGAGAATTTGAAAAATGTAATATTACACAGTATGGCCTATTCCCTAATGGTAGAGCTGAGGCAGGGCGATACAGTGAGGGAAAGTAGGGTGAATAATACTTTATTTCTAACCAAGTTACATGTAAGCCTGGTAATCTGAGTGTTAAGAGAGTATATTATTTCATTACCCAAGACTAACATGTCATCCATATAAAATATTATTGTTTTTCAAATATAGCCTATAAGACTGCAGATTGTCCTTCATTTCCAGAACACAGTACATTTTGGGTGGCAGACTTGTCATGCCTGCAATCAAATAACAGATGGTTGCCAGCTTCGTCAATTACCTGACTTCTCAAATGCATAAAATGGTTACATTTATTTTTGCTACAGTTTTCAGTCTGAGTCTGTTCTAAATCAGTAGTCAGACTATGAATCAAAGCCAGTAGTAGTCCACCAGCATCTGAATGTGCTTTTGAATTTGGATTTATGTTTTCCTGATCCTTTACAATATCCATAAATAGAAATTCTTGGAAAATTATGGCAAATGTGTGAGAAAATAAAGCAATTTTGAATATTGGCAAAAACAACAGTTAGACAGAATGTGTATCCTGAAAAGTCAATCTAGTGTATCTGTAACCCCTAAGCATTTGTTTCTTGCCACCTATAATCAACTGCAAGTTTTATTTTATTGGCTTTCATACAACAGGAGTCATAGCTCGGCACCCTCTCTATTATCCTTATCTACGGAAAGCTGTGACTGCCAAGGCTGTCGAAATCTATTTCCAACACCTAATACAGAGCGAAGATTCTGACACAAGGATGGTAACAAGGTATGTGCTTTGTCTTTGCAATTGTCCTTACTCTAATTAGTCATGGGAAAATATGTCACAGAAGCAAAAATAAAATATTTGTTGGAAAAGTCTTCAATCTACCAATTAAGGAACAGCTGCTTCCTAAACAGACAAACAGGAGAAACAGACAAACTCAGTGATTCAAAAAATGTAATCATAAATGGACCCAGGCCCCTGCTGGCCTCGTAAGACAGACTCTGAATGCCATAGTTCCTGCATATCCAGTGTCACAGATGCCAGGTAGCCAGGGATTCATTTGTAAGGCAGATTCAGATTGTAACACAAACACCCAAAGGAATAGTAGGTCTAAGCTTTTGTATCAAATACATTTATTTATTAGAGTCGCCTTTACAAAGGAGACTAAATTGAATTTTCTCCTTTGGATTGCACATACCTGTTTTGAACCAGCAATCTCCACCAGGCATTGCACATTATAGTTTGGGCACCTAGTAGCAGTATTACAATTAGACAGGTCTCTTGACCCAGTGAACTTTGGCAGAATTGGTGAAAAAGAGTTCCTGAACAGGCACCTCCTAACTCTTGATCGCTGCAAACTCTGCACTTTCCTCAACACCCACATTAGATTTTGAAATTCTTCTCCTGCAAGTCTCTAGTGCACCTATGTAACATGGAGTTGGTCTTTTAGACAGGGATATAGTCTAAATTCATTGCACATTAATGACAGAAGGAATGAAAAAAATCCTTGGAGTTGAGACTTGATGTAATTAGCAGCAGTCAGCTTCACAAAAGATTACAGTCTCATAAATTCAGTCCTTGATTGGTACCGATCTCAGCCAGGGTAGCAATCATATTAGATCTGAAGGAAAACTTGAACATTACAACCATCTTCAGAATTCAGGAGCGGGTGGAGGGGTGAAACTAGATCTTTAGTTGCTATCTGTCCTACCTACTGCAGTGGGCATAGAGATATTGAAAGAAAGTCAAGCAGATCTTGCAACGGATTGGATTCAGCTTTGACGGCCTTTCATATTCAAATAACCTGAAATACGGTTTTGTATTCCAAGCACAGTAGAGGATTACAGGAGAGAGATTTATGTGGGTGGGAAAAGGAAATGGAAGGAATGAACACAAAGTTTTGTTATCCTTATAAGATAAGGAAATCTATAGCTTAACAAACTTGAGTCAAAGCAGGATTTCTACTGAAAATTCCAGATCTGAACCTCAGACATCCTAACATCAGCTGTTCTTAATGGTTATAAATGTCAAGTAACCATGTGCACAGTAATCTTGATGTCCCTGTTTGACAGGCATTCTACTGCAACCCTTTTCCAACCTCAAACTGATTTTGAACAATGAGTCCAGTAGAAAATGTAATTTCTAGGCTTTCAAACCAAATGTTACATTTGTACTAAATATAATATTTGTGCATTACAACCTAATTTATTAAAACGTTTAACAGTATTTTATATAAAACTACATGGATTTATTGGAAAAATAGTTTAGCAAATTACATGCAATCGTCCTGCTGAAAATTTCCTCAACAAATCAAGAAAATGTAGAATACTATTCCACAGAAATGATTTGGAATACTATAGCTGGTAAAAGAATCACATTCTTTACCAGATGTATTCAAGCTTAAAAGTGAAGATGTTATTCGGTAAGTCAGCACATACAAGGCTCTGACGCTATGAACACTAGACTGCAAACTACTTTTCAATAATTTTGATAATGTAATGAATATTTTTCAACTCATCAGAAAACAATCAACCTGCGGATTTTTGCCTGAAATTCTAGCATGTCTTAGACTAAACTCAAATTACAGTCAGATCATTGTCATTGTCAGCATATTATCACCATGATTTGTACTGAAATGTTAGGTGATAGAACAACTTAGCTTTATAAAAGCTACAGCAAGATGAATAATATTTTGAATAATCTTCTCCCTGAACAGAAACCTGCTTTAGACAACAAAGAACAATGCTGGGTGTTCTATTGTGGTGGTAATGTTCATTAATTCATTTTTTTCCTCCATTCGGAAATTAATTGCAATGTCTTGCTCTTTCATTAAAAAACCACATACATTGAGAAAGAAAAATCACATTATCACCAAGAAAACAGCAGTCACAAGGTTTCATAATTATGTTCAGCATTGCACGAAATATTACTGTTTCACAAATGTTTAAAAATTGCTTTTAAAAACACTTAAAGAAATTAAACTGAACAGATGAGTAATTTAAAGTCCATTCGGCTACAGTGCAGCACCATCTTATTCATACTACATGAAAGGTGTAGAAGGTCGGCCTTTTAAACATAAGTTATCTTGACACTTTAATAATAGAACATGTTCACACTATTAAAAGTCCAACAACTAACTGAGAAGAATCCAAATTTGAGCATGTCAGTTTGAGAACTTAATTCAATTTTTTAACAATCCTTCTTTTTTGAAAGCCATTATCACAAAAAGTGCTCAAACTTAAAATCTAGCTGATAAAACTGTTGTTTAGGGAAGGAAACTTTGCATCCTTGCCTAGTTTGGCCTATATGTCCTCTAGCCTCACACCAACTAGTCTCTAAAGTCAAACCACACCAATCTATCAAATCTTTGCACTTCAGCAATTCAAAAAGACACCCAACCATTCTTTTTGTGGAAAGAAGGGATGGGCAATAAACATTAATTGTTGCAGTGATGCATTTCAAATTCTTGCTTATTCTAAATTGAGCATCTCAGTGGCATATTTATCATAAAATTAGATTATTAAAGATCAGGATCTGCCCTGGTACCAAAGATGCAAGAGCATCATTTGTTTCCCGATCAGTTGCTTTCTGTTTATATAAAGCAGACTTATTTTAACAAAAACGGAAATTGCTGGGAAAACTCAGCAGCTCTGGTAGCATCTGTGGAGAGAAAGAAGCATTACTATTTTGGGTGCAGCTCCTCTTCTTCAGAACATTACTCAATGTTTATTTCCCATTGGAACCAGATATTTGTTTCTTTCAAGTGGTCGGGGGTGCTTTGTTAATCTCCTCGAAAGTTAAAGTACATAAGAAAATGAACACAAAGTGTATCAACAATTAGACTAACTTCATTCAGTCAGTGCAAACTTGTTTTCACAGAATGTAAACACGATGCTTCCCCACATCTGTAGATTGTTTGATTATCCTTCCAAATTTCCTTCTGAATCCATAGTCAGTTTGCTCTCCTGTGTTTTCATTTAAAAAAAACTATTCACAACCCGCAACAAGGAGCCAAGGGAAAGGTTCCCTGTCAAAGAATAGACTTATCAATTGCTGCAATAAGAAAATTTATTGTTATTATAAACTCCTATGTTACAACAGCAACTACATCACAGTACTTCATTGGATGCAAAGAGCTTTGTGGTGTTCTGAGGTTGTGGAAGTTGATACACAAATGTAAATAAAAACAGAAAGTGCTGGAGAAACTGAGCAGGTCTGGCAGCAAATGTAAAGAGAGAAAAATAGAGTTAAGTTCTCAGTTTTGAAGAAAAGTCACACTGGACTCAAAACATTAATTATGTTTCTCTTTCCACAGATGTTGCCAGACCTGCTGAGTTTCTTCAGCACCTTCTGTTTTTATTTCAGATCTCCAACAGCCACTGAGTTGGCTTTTATTTCATGTATGCAAAACCTTTTTTTGTGAAATGACAGAAAGTTTAGCTCATTACTATTTTTACACTGTATCTTAAAGAACATGTGTGATTGCATTACTTAAAACCTTCCATTGCAGTTTGAGCTGAGTACAGTGAGCTGTTGTTGTCTGTGTAGGAATACTGCTGTCTGTGGATTGTAGTCTCACCAGCCCTCTTAGACTATTGGCTACACTGTCAATTCAGTCTTGGTGTCTTTGGCACAAACTGCTGAAAATAAAACCACGTTCATTTATCAAATGTGGGGGAAGAAGATATTGGTGACGATAGAGATTTGAATTACATTGTCAGACGTGAAATCTGCCAGCTACAGCTGAGTCAGACACCTTCACAATACTCTGCACACCCTATGACTTCAAATGAGTAGAATTGAGCACCCAGTTTGGTGACAAGCTCTGTTATCAATACCTTACAGGAAATACTTTGAACATGAGCACTGGTGGATTTCCATATGTTTTGACATGTTTTGCTTTGTTCTCAGATTTGACCTTCCAGGTATCCAGGGATTAAATTTTGTGCTGAGAAATTCTTTAGGTGGAGGAGGCATAGCATCTTTAAGGAGTGATCCCCAGGTATGAAAACCAGTTTACACCTCAGCCTGTGCTTCTGGCTTTGACAATGTGTCCCTAGACGATTTTTTTTATATCCAGAAGTGCTCTTGCACATAACATTTTTTCATCGCCAAACCATCCATCATACTAGATGATATTTTAAATGAATTGCTAATTGCAGAGAAGGTACGTGGAAAGCTGCCAAAGAACCAGCTAAACATTTGAATAGGTTTTCCTAACCTAATGTTGTAGGATTTGCTAAGAGTTGGTTCCTGGTACATCTGCAATGTGATTTTGCGCGTAACTCTTGGCATTTACACATTCCAACTCTGCTGTTAGAATTTTTAAAGCAATTTCTTCCCTACCCAAATCATTAAAATACTTTGTTGCAATGTGAATTGTTTTGGCAAAATTAGTTGCTAGAAAGTATAAAAGGTTTGAACTTCCCGGATACTGGTAGTGAGGGAGTTCAGAGTCCAGGAACTGCGACCCTTTTAAAAGGATAACAACTGATATGGTAAATATATGCCCTTCCAAATGGTGCTGTGTCAGTATCGCAAATACCCCTCCCATGATCTGTACAATCACCGTGAATATTACAATCCTGTCTGCAGTATAGTCTCATCCTGGAGCCCTTAGTTCCTAAATGTTCCTTCTTAAACGATTTTAATTGAACGCTATTCTATCATCCAGCTCTACACCTTGCTATCTCAGATTCTCCAGCATCTGCAGTTCCTACTATCTCTGAAACAATTTTAACCCCACTGCAAAGCCTCTTCTAAGGATGCCTACCTTGAAGAAGTTACCCTCCTCCCTCCAGAAAAACCTCAGTGGATCTCTCTCCCACTGCAACTCTCTCGTAATCTCTTCGGCCTTGAAACTGCTCAACCACGTCCTGAAGCAAACCAGGTACTACAGCCACATTACCTTTCTTAGTACCTGCCTACGGAACCAGATCATCCCCAATGGACTACAGTCCACATTCAGGACTTCCCAATTTGGCCCCAACCGCGACAATGTCTACATTCAGAACACTGAGATCCTTCAAAAACGTTTCTCCCTGCGACTCCTGAAACACACACTCGCAGCGTTGCGCCGGCATCTCCTGGCACTACAATCAAGCCTACCCCAGCTCAGAGCCTCCCTCTCCCAGACCTGCAAAGGACCTCTCCTGTTTTTTATTCTTCGTAGGATCCACAACCTGAACTCACAACTCTACTCAGCTTTACTGGACACTAAAAACCGTAAGTACAGTAAACTTACTGGTGCCTGCCACCCAAAATGGGCTTCCTCCACCCCCCAAATCCCCAACCCTACCCAGGACCTTCCCCACAATGTGCCTGCTGTCATCAGCCATGTGGCCACTTTCAGAGCACCTACGGATGATGTCACATCCGCCGCCGCCGGGTTCCCCACTTCCGGGACAGCGAACGCCATCGACACCGTTGCTGATGCCACCGCCTCCATTTCCGAGGCCAACACCATAGAAGCTGAGGATGCACCAGCCGACACCGCTGCTGCCACCGCCTACGCCACTCCGCCCATCGCCAACGCAACTCTACCCACCGCCAACGCCGACACAACTCCGCCCATCGCCTCTACAGCCAACAGCTCCAGAGGAGACAATAGCACCCAGCCCTGCCGAGTCTTCACCATCCCCCCAGACCTCCCCCTTACTGAGGATGAACGGTCAGTCCTCAGTAAAGGGCTCACCTTTGTCCCCCTCCACCCACACATCAACGAATACCACTCACGTTGAACAGTTTTTCCGCCACCTCCGCCTCCGCGCTTACTCCTTTAATCGTGAGCCTAACCCTCCCTCTACTGACCCTTTCTCCCGCCTCCAACACACCCCCTCCTCCTGGACACCACCCCAAGGCCTCCTACCCTCCCTCGACCTCTTCTTCTCCAACTGCCGTCGTGACATCAATCGCCTCAACCTCTCCATCCCTCTCACCCACTCCAACCTCTCCCCCACGGAATGTGCAGCCCTCCACCCCCTCCGCTCCAACCCTAACCTCACCATAAAACCCACGGACAAGGGATGCGCAGTTGTAGTATGGCACACTGACCTCTACATCGCCGAGGCCAGGCGCCAACTCGCCGAGACCTCCTCCTACCACCCCCTTGATCATGACCCCACCCCTGACCACCAAACTATCATCTCCCAAACCATCCACAACCTCATCGCCTCAGGTGACCTCCCACCCACGGCCTCCAACCTCATCGTTCCCCAACACCGCACCGCCCGCTTCTATCTCCTTCCCAAAATCCACAAACCTGACTGCCCTGGTCGACCCATTGTCTCTGCCTGCTCCTGCCCCACCGAACTTATCTCCACCTATCTCGACTCCATTTTCTCCCCCTTGGTCCAGGAACTCCCTACCTACGTCCGTGACACCACCCACGCCCTCCACCTCCTCCAAAACTTCCAATTCCCCGGTCCCCAACACCTCATCTTTACCATGGACGTCCAGTCCCTATACACCTGCATTCCCCATGCAGATGGCCTAAAGGCCCTCCGCTTCTTCCTGTCCCGCAGGCCCGACCTGTCCCCCTCCACTGACACCCTCATCCACTTAGCCGAACTCGTCCTCACCCTCAATAACTTCTCTTTCAATTCCTCCCACTTCCTACAGACAAAGGGGGTGGCCATGGGTACCCGCATGGGCCCAAGCTATGCCAGCCTCTTTGTTACGTGGAACAATCCCTCTTCCGTAGCTACACTGGCCCTAAACCCCACCTCTTCCTCTATTACATTGATGACTGTATCGGCGCCGCCTCGTGTTCCCACGAGGAGTTCGAACAGTTCATCCACTTCACCAACACCTTCCATCCCAACCTTAAGTTCACCTGGACCATCTCTGATACCTCTCTCTCCCTCCTGGACCCCTCTGTTTCCATCTCTGGCAACCACCTGGAAACCGATATCCATTTCAAGCCCACCGACTCCCACAGCTATCTAGAATACACCTCCTCCCACCCACCTTCCTGCAAAAATGCCATCCCCTATTCCCAATTCCTTCACCTCCGCCGCATCTGCTCCCAGGATGAGGCATTCCACTCCCGTACATCTCAGATGTCCTCGTTTCTCAAGAACCGCAACTTCCCCCCCTCTGTGGTCGAGAATGCCCTCGACCGTGTCTCCCGCGTCTCCCGCATTTCCCGCAACTCATCCCTCACACCCCCTCCCCCCAATAACAACCAAAACAGAATCCCCCTCGTCCTCACGTACCATCCCACCAACCTCCGGATCCAACGCATCATCCTCCGACACTTCCGCCATCTGCAATCCGATCCCACCACCAAAGACATTTTTCCCTCCCCACCCTTATCTGCTTTCTGGAGACTCCCTTGTCCGCTCCACACTCCCCTCCAGCCCCACCTCATCCGGCACTTTTCCCTGCAACCGCAGAAAGTGCTACACCTCTCCCCTCACCCCCATCCCAGGCCCCAAGAAGACTTTCCACATCAAGCAGATGTTCACCTGCACATCTGCTAATGTGGTATACTGTATCTGCTGTTCCTGTTGTGGCCTCCTCGACTTCGGGGAAACCAAGCGGAGGCTTGGGGACCGCTTTGCAGAACACCTACACTCGGTTCGCACTAAACAACTGCAACTCCCAGTCGCGAACCATTTCAACTCCCCCTCCCATTCCTCAGATGACATGTCCATCCTGGGCCTCCTGCAGTGCCACAACGATGCCACCTGAAGGTTGCAGGAACAGCACCTCATATTCCGCTTGGGAACCCTGCAGCCCAATGGTATCAATGTGGACTTCACAAGCTTCAAAATCTCCCCTCCCCCTACCGCATCCCAAAACCAGCCCAGCTTGTCCCCGCCTCCCTAACCTGTCCTTCCTCCCACCTAACCCCTCCTCCCACCTTAAGCCCCACCCCCATCTCCCACCTACCAACCTCATCCCGCCCCCTTGACCTGTCCGTCCTCCCTGGACTGACCTATCTCCTCCCTACCTCCACACCTACACTCACCTTTACTGGCTCCATCCCCGCCTCTTTGACCTGTCTGTCTCCTCGCCACCTATCATCTCCTCTATCTATCTTCTCTCCGCCTCCCCCTCTCTCCCTATTTATTTCAGAACACCCTTCTCCTCCCCCATTTCTGAAGAAGGGTCTCGGCCCGAAACGTCAGCCTTCCTGCTCCTCTGATGCTGCTTGGCCTGCTGTGTTCATTCAGCTCTACACCTTGTTATCTCTGCTATTCTAAAGCAGATTGGTTCCTAGACTAGAATGTAGAAGAATGAGTGGGGATCTTCCAGAAACATATAAAATTATGAAGGGAATGGTAAGACAGAAGCAGGGAGATGGTTTCCACTGGCGGATGAAACGAAGTAGGGAGCATTGCCTCAAAATTAGGGGGAGCAGATTTAGGACTGAGTTGAGGAACAACTTCACCCAAAGGGTTGTGAATCTGTGAAATTCCCTGCTTGGTGAAGCAGCTGAGACTACCTCATTGAATGTTTTTTAAGGCAAAGAGATTTTTGAACAGTATAAGAATTAAGGTTTATGGTGATTAGGTGGGTAAGTGGAACTGAGTCCACCAATGATCTTATTGAATAGTGGAGCAGGCTCCAGGGGCCAGATGGCCCACTCCTGCTCCTATTTGTTATGTTCTTATATGTTATTGAAAAATAATTGATGTTTCCAGGGCAAAGCATATGGACAGATGCTACTGGACTTTCAACTGAAACACGTTCCTGATCTGAAGACTCTAATAGATGAATAGCTGAGATCTAGGATGTCGGGAGATTGTGGGAGTTCCTGCTGCAGTCCTACGTGATGGTGCACCCTGTACAAAGATACCAATGCTGTGCCTTCACTTTTATTTTCTCTGCAGATAGAGAGAACAAGCGGATTTTTTTAAAGTATCAGTTTTGTCACTTTTAAACTTTCTTTGACTATCTTGACACTTTACTCAACATTAATTAAGTTTGTTTGTCTATTAATAATTAAGTTGCGAATTAAATGGCGAATCAATTTCTTTATATGGGATTTGCACTCTGTGTTTAAGTAAATCGAGTTTGCAGATGCCTTGTTAAAACGTTGCCACTGTCAGGCCTAATGAACAAACATGCCTTTGTATTTTCTGTAAATTACCTTAACAATTGCAAATTAATGAATTTAAATAACAGATTGAAAGCTACAAAACACCTAAAATAAGGTACAGAAGCCTGTTATGGACAAGATGCTATTGGTGGCATTGTAATTGTAGTCGGTCAGTTGAAAAGGCGGGTTTCACAGAAGACAGAATGAGTGAGATGATTTTTTAAATCGGGTTCCGTGCCCACAAGGCCATTTCTGTCTTAATAAAGTCACATTTGAATTTAGATTCAATGCACTGTAAATAGACATATTTAATAAAGGTGATTCTAATTGTACCAAATGAAGTAATTAAATATTTTAGTGTTTACAGATTCTCTCTGGCTGCATTTAGATGAAAGGAATGGGAGGTTGGGATAAAAGACAGAGTTAAAAAGACATTTCCATTCGAGATAACTGCTCAAGACAGATCCTATCGTCAGTACCTGGTAACAGTTACATTTTGTACTCTTCAGTGAAACTATACGTCAGAAAAATGGTAATGGAAATGAATTTAACCCAAATTCGCACATGCAGATAGGCAGCAATTGTTTCTCTTTTAACTTAACTGAATTCTGACCGTGTTTTCAGCCTGTAAGCTTGGTCCTCGTGAATAGTTTGGCCACTTTCACATTTATGGCGTGATTTAACCTCCTCCAATCCACGTAATCCTCCAAACCCAACGAATATTTTGAGTTGAATTTGCCAGAGTTGGGAACCCATCAGCCTCACGATCACTGATCCACTTTCCAATGCCTCTTTCTCGATGTCGATGTTTGTTAGTCACCAGGAGTCCAGAGACTCCCATGTCGAGCCACATACTTTCCCAGGGTTTCCTTGGCGTAAAATTGACCTGACGACGCTTCTCTCAGCGGAGCATTGGGGTTAACAATCATATTACCAGCCCATTTACACCAGATGAAGCAAACCAATCAGTCCGGCTGCCTGGCCCACTGTAATGTCTTTATGCGTTAGTATTAGATCTCACATGGGTCAGCAATTAAAATAGTTCCCTCTTTTCTAACTCAGAGAAACGGCCGAGATCATTAGTTTACTTCATTATTCCATTATTAACGTCGATCTAAAGCAGGACAATCGCACCGTTTCAATCTTTTATGAAATTATAGAGTACCAACCAAATGTGCAAAAAGCCATCTATCAATGTGACAGAATACCTATTTATACAAAAAAGATAATAAAGTTTACCTAAATTGAAGCTTTTCAAATTTATACTGCAGTTTCCTTTAAATATAAATATCCTTAAGAGGACAGAGTCTTAAAATGTAAAGCCAGGCCTTTCACAAGTGAAAGTAAGAAACATTTCTTCACAGAATGAATGGTGGAGGTGTAAACAGTCTTCCGCAAACAGCAGATGATAAGTTAATTACAAATCTGAGATCGATTGATAATGTCTGTTGGTCAGATTTATTAAGGGATATGGGGCAGTAGCAATGTCATGGGATTAGGCCATAGATCAGTCATAATTTCATTGAATGGTGGAGCAAGGCTTGAGGGACTAAACGATCTCCTCATGTTCCTGTGTACTTATTTCATCAGCAGCACTGATAAATTCTGGGAAATGATGTACCCTTTGCACATTAAAGATTGCTCATTTGAAATTCCACTGCAGTTCAGGTCTCTGTTCGTATCAACAAGCCCAAACCATGATTTTTTTGAGGGTTCTGTGGTCAAGAAATAGTATCGTGCTTCCTGTCCACAGTGTACCAAGTTTATGTAGGTTATTTCCTCTTTAAGACCACAAAATGTAGAAGCAGAAATAGGCCACTCAGCCCATTGAGTCTGTGGTACCATTCAATGAGATCTTGGCTGATTTGATCATCTTCAACTCCACTTTCCTACCTTTTACCTATAACATGAATTTCCCTATTGATTAAAAATGTCTCTCTCAGCCTTGAATATAATGACCAAGCCTCGACAGCCCTCTGCAGTAAAGAATTCTGCAGAATTACTACCTTTTGAGAGAAGAAATTCTTCCTCATTTATATATTAAATGTGCAACCCCTTATTCTGAGAATATATCCTCCGGTTCTAGACTCTCCCACAGGGGAAACAATCTTTCTGCATCTATCCAGTCAAATCCCCTAAGAATCTTGTACGTTTCAATAAGGTCACCTCTAGCTCTTCCAAGCATCTTCTGGTAATATTGCAGTGGAATAGGCCCTCTGAGCCCAGGGCTCAGCCACTCCATCCACTTTTCTTTTTGTTTCTTTTCTGTTTTTTACTCTCTTCTCTTGTTTTCTTTTATCTTTTATTTACTTACCTCTTGTTGAAGAGTCTGGCAGCTCATGGCAACAAGTAGGCCTAGCATGGACCCCTGGTCGCTGCGTCAGAGAGAGTTTGGGTGCATTGACGATACAGTCCTATTGCCAACTCGTGGCTGCTGTAGCAGAGGTGAGTTTGGGTTCCCAGCAGTGTTTGCATCCAGCGCAGATTCATGGAGGCGGTGGCAGAGGTGAGTTTGGGTTCCCGGCAGTGTTTGCGTCCAGCGTAGATTCATGACTGCTGTAGCAGAGGTGAGTTTGGGTTCCCGGCAGTGTTTGCATCCAGCGCAGATTCGTGGAGGCGGTGGCAGAGGTGAGTTTAGGCTGGTGCGGTACCTGGCAGTGGTAGAGTCTGCATTGGCGAGGTCCAGCAAGGGTGTCAGTGGAGGTGAGATGGTTTTGAAGAGTGGTGACTTTCATTCCAGGAGCGTGGTGAAAGGACCCGTGCCTGGCCACCAGGCTCAGTGCCCGTAATGGAGCACTTAACAAGAAGGACAATAAAGTTGAACACTTTTAGTTTATTTCTGTATTCTTCTGCCTTTATGTTCTATATTTTGGTTTATTTTTCTGTGTTTTAAGATGGTGCGGAGAGTGGAGACACTATACAACCCTTTCACTGTATTTCATAACAAAATATACTTGACAATAAATAAATCAAATCAAAAATCAAATAAATTCCAATGAGTACAGGCCCAATCTGCCCAACCATTCATAACACCAGTCCCTCCATACCTGGTATCAGCTTAGTAAATCTTCTCTGGACCCCCAACAATGCTGGTGTATCTTTCCTGACAGAAGAGAACCAAAACGGTTCACAGTATCAGTTGTGGTCTGACTGAAGCCTAGTATAGTTTTAGCGAAACCTCCCTACATTTGTACTCCATTTCCTTTGAAATAATGGTGAATGTTCCATTTGCCTTCCCTGTTACCTACTGAACTTGGATGCCACCTTTTCATGATTCTTGCATGAGGACTCTGAAATTCCTCTGTTGTTAGCTTTCTGCATTCCTGAATAATATTCAGCTCCTCCATTTTTCCTGACAAAATGCATAACTTCACATTTTCCCACATTATATTCCATCTGCCAATTGTTTGCCCATTCACTTAATCTGTCTATAACCCTCTGCAGAATCTTCATGTCATCCACATCACTTGCCTTCTCATCTATTTTTCTGTCATCTGCAAACTTGGCTATGTTACATTCATTTTCCTCATCCAAGTTATTAACATTATATTGGAAATAATTGTGGCCCCAGCACTGATCCCTTTGATACTCCACTAGTTACAGGTTGCCATCCTGAAAATGCACTCTGCCCCTTTAACCCAACTCCCTATCTTCCATCAGTTAGCCAATCCTCTCTATGCTAATATACTACTTCTTATTAAGTACCCTAACATGTGATACCTTAGCAAAGGTCTTCTGAAAAATCCAAATGTTTAGATTTGCATCCACTGCTTCTCCTTTATCTGCCCTGCTTGTTGCTTCCTCAAAAAATTCTAGTAAATTTGTCAGGCATGAGTTCCCCTTCATGACGCCATGCTTACTCTGCTTGATCTTATAATGCATTTCTAAATGCTGCACCACTACATCCTTTATAATAGATTCTCAACATTTTCCAATAACAGATGTTAAGCTAAGTGGCCTATAATTACCTAATTATTGTCTCCTGTTTTCAACTGAAGATCTTGCATTAGCAGCTTTCCAATCCTATGGGACTGTTCCAGAATCTAAGGATTCTTTGAAGATTACTACCAGTGCTCTCTGTAGCTACTTCCTTTAATATTGCATTATGCATCCCATCAGGTCCTAGGAACTGATTAGTCTTTAGCTCCTTCAGTTTCCCTAACACTTTCTCTAGTGATAGTTATTATATTTATTCCCTCTTCTCTTTTTGCCCCTTGATTATTTAGTCATTTTGGAATACTATTCCTTCTACTGTCTTCTACAATGAAGCCTGATGCAAAGTATTTATTCAACTCCTCCTCCATTTCCTGGCTCACCATTACTATTTCCCCAGCCATGTTCTCAGAGGGACCTATGTCCACTTTGGATTCTCTCTTTCTTTTTATATATTTAAAGAAGCTCTTGCTATCCTCGGTATGACTTGCAAATTCACCCTGAAAGTTTATTTGCACCCTCTTTATCATTTACTTGGTTATCTTTTGCTGATTGTTAAAAGTTACCCAATTCCCTGGCTTACCACTAATCTTTCCACATTACATATATTTTTCTTTCAATTTGATTTTGCCTTTAACTTCCCTGGTTAACTGTGGTTGGCTTATCCCAAACCTAGAATCCTTCATCCTCACTGGGATATATCTTTGCTGTTACTCAACATCTTTTCTACTTAACTTCTTTTCAAGTTCACTGCAGCCTCAGGTCTGCCCTCATTACTTTGTAATTGCCATTATTTAAGTTTAGCAGAGTTGCTTCTGACCAAGTTCTTCGCTCTAAAACTGAACGTTAAATTTTGCCATGTTTTGCTTGTTATTTCTGAGGGAGTCTTTTACTCTGAAATTGTTTATTAAATCTGCCTCATTACGCGTCACCAGATCCAAATAAAAACCAGAAGAACTGCAAATGCTGTAAGTCAGGAACAAAAACAGAAGTTGCTGGAAAAGCTCAGCAGGTCTGGCAGCATCTGTGAAGAAAAATCAGAGTTAACCGGTGACCCTTCCTCAGAACCTGATCCAAATAGCCTGAGGAGAAGGAAAGTGGAAAGTGGATGAGTGCAGATGGAACCACACACCACTTACTGGAATGACCTCTACAACAAAGTCCTTTGAAATGGTGGTTTTAGTAGATGATGAAGAATCTGCTCTGATGAAGAGTCATCTAGATTCAAAACGTTAGCTTGCTCTTTCTCCGCTGCCTGGCCCACTGTGATTTCCAGCATTTTTATTTTCAATACAGATACCAGCATCGGCAGTAATTTGCTCCTCGTCTGATTCTTGGCTGAATCCATAACATATTGTTTTAGGATGAAAACAGAAAGTGCTGGATACACTCAGCAGGT